GCAAAAATCGCTTGATAGAAACTCATAGTTTGTCACCAATATTATCACGCATGAGTTTTAACTGGGACCCATGCTCTGAAACGAAGATTCAGCACCCCATAAAATGCTGGTTCCGCCACTACAAGTCTGGAGAGTAAGGCGGATGTGGAACCGTAACCCATTCGAGCTTCAATAAATTTTCACGTGTTGACTTTGCAATGTGGGGGTCTGGCATTGTCGTGCAAAAAATTAACTCTGCTTTGCGTCCCCTGGAGTTTTGGTGCAACTTGGTTCAATTGCTGACAGTAGATGTCAGCAGGGATTAGAGCCCGTCGGGTCCGAGTAATTCGGACCCGGACCCTATCTCTCCGTCACGCTTAGACCCGGGCCCGGACCCGCACTTTAATTATGATCAAGTGTAGATCACGTTCTGTATGAAAATGTTGTGTTCGTTCTGTGAAAACTTACTTCTATTCTTCTATTGTCTTTGTCGATGACTAGTGCATTCTATATATATATATATATATATATATATATATATATATATATATAAGAATTCTTCATGGTCACTTTACTGGTAAGGTCTAATTGGTTTCTCTCTGTATCCAATAGGCTCAAATGAATAAAAGAAACAAAACAACTTCGTGTATGTTCGAGTAAAGAGAACTTGTACATTCTTCTTTGTTAAACAATTGTTTCGTGAAGAACAAATTTTATTATTCCACTTGATCTTCTTCTAAAATATTCGTCAAAATATATCATGAACCAGTTATTAAATAAGAATGAAGTTACTCGACTAATAAAACAAAATGATAAATCAGTTGTATTTCGAAAACGAAAAAAAACTAACAAATCCTCTCCAATGTGGGATCATTTTACTACTGTTGTTGTTAATGATATCGAACAGGAATTTGTTTGTTGTGACAATTGTCGAGAATTACTGGTTTATCGAACAAGCGATGGTACGAAATCTATGTTGAAACATCATCGTTCATGTAATGGACAAACTACTCTTTCACAAAAATGTTCAAACAATCCAGTTAAACTTACAGAATATTTTACGCCGTCGAGCAATTCGAACATACCTAAAAGAATTACTGAAAAAGTGAAAATGGCTTGCACAGAGTTCGTAGCTATAGATTGTCGGCCATTTGAATTAGTTAATGGTGAAGGTTTTTTAAAAATGGTTCAATCTATCTTTGATGCTGGTCGATATTTCAGTCTCACATCAAACATTAATATTAAAGATTTGGTTCCTTCGTCTATTACAGTAATTACATTAATTTTTCAGATATAAGTTATGATTATTTTATGTTTATTTTTCTTCTATTTTCTTTGTCAGGTTGGTAGACATGTTGATCGTTTATATGAACAAGAAAAACGTCAATTATTAAAATTATGTTCTGAAATGGAATCTTTTTTGTATTGTATGTGATTTCTGGACCGAACGATATAGAGTAGAGTGGGGCAATTGAAGACAAAAAATCACTTGCTATTTTTGTGACGAACATAAGTTCGTCATTTTTTGGAATTTTTCTCTACTTTTTTTTCTGGCCTATAAAGTGGTATTTACGCTACATCCTCATGTAAAAAAATTTCAGAAAAAGTGAGCCAAACTTGTTCAATCGAGTGTTTAGTACGAGCAACTATCAAATTTCTGCAATAGCCCCGCATGGGGCAAATGCAGACAGTAGCTGAACGGTGCGGGTAATTGCAGATTACCAGCAGTTTTACATGAAGCCAATAAAAATCGGTTTGTTCATTATTGTTACTAGATAAATTAATTTTTTTTACATAGTCGAATAGCCCTGAAAATTCTCTACCATCGGTGAGAATCTTACCTTTTAACTCCTCAAATACTCAGAATGATATTGAAGATAATGAATTGAAAGATTACTAAAAATTTCTGCAATTACCCCACTTGGGGTAAATGCATACGTACATAGAGATGGTGGGGCAATGGCAGACAGTAATACTGAAGTATTGAAAATATTCATGAAGGATGTCCATCACTTTTTGGAGAAAATATGCGTTCTACTGAAAAATGTCCGCTACCAAAAATGTTCGTGGTACGCATTTCTACCAATGTAAACTAGTTGACGTCTGCTCAATATTCAAAATAAACATCAAAGTGCTTAGAGGTAAAACTATTTCAAAACCTACTCGTGTTTTACATCTTTCGTTACTCTGATGCATATTTTCGTTAAACTAATGGCAGATTCAAGATCTCCGTCCCAAACTGCATCTAGAAATGTGTCATATATATATTTTTTACGAAAAACATTTTCATCAAAAAAACCTGGGGGGTACCTCAGCCAAAAATATGGAGAAAAAACTTTTTTTCACTGATGTTCCTTAATTTATACATCATCTGATGCAGTTTTGAACGTAGTTCATGAATATCGTATTTGTTTCCTCTAAGACTCGAATGATAACCGAAAACCTGCAAGATACAGCCTTTTTTTCGCAGTACCGTACCACAAATCTTGCTTTTTCAAATTTACTGCATTATCATTCGGTTCTTAGAGGAAA